TAACTATAATAGGTATAGTTAAGACTACTGCTCATTACCTCTATTACTATGATACTCCCTATAATCTGTTGGTAAAATGAAAAAAATAAAAAAATATTTTAGCTAAGTTTGTTCTTTAAAGACTTACATTACTATTTACAAAGGAATTGGTTAAAACAAAACAAACAAAACATCCAATTATCTATGTCATGCAAGTCAAATCCCTAAACCCAAAACTCCAACACAAATCTTTATACAGTAAACCGTATATCGTAAACCCTAGCTCCTAAATCCTAAACCCTATACCTTTAAACTTAATCCAAACACCCTAACCACTAAACCCTAAACCCTAAACTTTAAACCTTGAAACATTAACCTTAAACCGTAAACCCTAAACACTGAACCTTGAATCTTAAACCATAAACCCTAAATACTAAATACTAACCCCTAACCACTAAACACTAAACCCTAAACTTTAAACCTTGAAACTTTAACCGTAAATCGTAAACCCTATCCCCTAAACCACTAAACACAAAACCTTTAAACTTAAACCAAACACCCTAACCACTAAACACTTGTAACATCCAGATTTCCAGATATTATATTTTATCATTTATTTTTGGGTCTAAGAGAGAGACTGGACGAGCATTGCATGTGGGTCAAGATCCAACCTCTACGTGGTTATTGGTCTTGGGAAGGTTAGATCTATGGATTAGAGGAACAGATCTGACCTCATGAGGTAAGATGAATGTTTCCATGGGAGCAACTCGCCGAGTCCATAGGTAGACTCGATGAGTCGAGTCGGGGTTGCCCTGTGATTCGTTACCGAGTCACCCGACGAGTGGAAAGGGAACTCGTCGTGTCAAGTGAGGTTTTGAGGATTTCCGAGGACCAGTGTGGACTCGACGAGTCGCCCAAGTGCACTCGACGAGTCTGGTCAAAGTTTGACCATTAACTGGAGTTGACTTTGTTGACTTTTAGGGTTTGGTCAATGATTGGTCTTATTTTAGAGGATATTCTTTAATGCATCACACGGATTGAGTTGTATTTTAGAGAAGACAATTATGTATTGTTATTTTCTTATTTAAATAAACTAAATTTTATAATTTAAAAAAGATCGAGTAATTTTTTTTTTTGATTTTTACACTCAATTAATGTATAATCTATTGGTAAAATGAAAAAAAAAATGAAAAAAATATTTTAGCTAAGTCTGTTCTTTAAAGACTTACATCACGATTCACAAAGGAATTGGTTAAAACAAAACAAACAAAACATCCAGTTATCTAAGTCATGCAAGTCAAATCCCTAAACCCAAAACTCCAACACAAATCTATATACAATAAACCGTATATCATAGACCCTAGCCCATAAACCCTAAACACTAAACCTTTAAACTTAAACCGAACACCCTAACCACTAAACACTAAACCCTAAACTTTAAACCTTGAAACTTTAACCTTAAACTATAAACCCTAAACACTAAACCTTGAACCTTAAACCATAAACCCTAAATACTAAATACTAACCCCTGACCACTAAACACTAAACCCTAAACTTTAAATCTTGAAACTTTAACCGTAAAATGTAAACCCTATCCCGTAAACCCTTAACACTAAACCTTTAAACTTAAACCAAACGCCCTAACCACTAAACACTTGTAACTTCCGGATTTCCATGTATTATATTTTGTCATTTATTTTTGGGTCTAAGAGAGAGACTCGACGAGCGTTGCATGTGGGTCAAGATCCAACCTTTACGTGATTATTGGTCTTGGGAAGGTTAGATCTATGGATTAGAGGAATAGATCTGACCTCAGGAGGTCAGATGAATGTTGTCATGGGAGCAACTCGACGAGTCGAGTCGGGGTTGCCCCGTGATTCGTTACCGAGTCACCCGACGAGTGGAAAGGGAACTCATCGTGTCAAGTGAGGTTTTGAGGATTTCAGAGGACCAGTGTGGACTCGATGAGTCGCCCAAGTGCACTCAACGAGTCTGGTCAAAGTTTGACCGTTGACTGGAGTTGACTTTGTTGACTTTTAGGGTTTGGTCAATGATTGGTCTTATGAGCCATTAGAGAGGTAGAATGGTCTTTTACCCTTCTTAGAGAACTTATAGAGAGGGGTTAGCCTAGCCTTTAGAAGTTGTATTAATTAGAGTAATTATTTATGTGATTAGGCGGAGGCTAGGGCGGTACTTCACAGTGAGACTTTAACTGTAAACCCAAAACTCCAACACAAATCTGTATACAGTAAACCGTATATCGCAAACCCTAGCCCCTAAACCCTAAACACTAAACCTTTAAACTTAAACCAAACACCCTAACCACTAAACACTAAACCATAAACTTTCGACCTTGAAACTTTAACCGTAAACCGTAAACCCTAACACCTAAACCCTAAACAATGAACCTTGAACCTTAAATATAAAACAAACACCCTAACCCCTAAACAATAAACACTAAAACTTGATATTAAAGATTGATCATTAAGTCAAGTTTTACAATGGATCATGAAAAAGTCTTACATCCTCCTTAGAAATATCTTTAGTTTTAACAAAGATTAGTAAACCCTAGCCCCTAAACCCTTAACACTAAACCTTTAAATTTAAACCAAACACACTAACCACTAAACTCTAAACCCTAAACCCTAAACACTAAACCTTTAAACATAAAACAAACACCCTCTCCCCTAATCAATAAACACTAATCCTTGATATTGAAGATTGATCATTAAGTCAAGTTGTACAACGGATCATGACTCTTTATAAATATCTTTAGTTTTAACAAAGATTAATCAATGTAAAAGAATATACTTTTAAAAATCGGAAACCGCTTTAAAAACTATGGAGAACCGCCTCAAAAAATAAGGTAATCCGGCTCACATTTTGATTAATCAATAAGATACTTTTAAAATAGAAAACCACCTCAACAAATAAGAAGAAACCGCCTCAAAAAATATACTGAAACCGCCTCAAAAAATAAGAAGAAACCTCCTCAACAAATAAGGCGAAACCGCCTCAAAAAATATATTGAGACCGCCTCAAAAAAGGGAACCGCATCAAAAGAAAGAAAACCGCTTCATTAAACCTAACCCGCTCGGCAAGTTTTCCCTCTTATGATTTTCTTGATTTGGCTTTCTAATTTTTTCACTCCGCGCCAGCTCTCCTGTGGAAACCTCCATAGCGATTCGTAAACTCTCGATTCTGTAATACTTGACGCCGACGGAAGTTTAGGTTTTAATCGGACGGCTAGTTGACACCGGAAGCCTCCACGTACGCGAGAAACCTCCATAGCTCTCATTTGGAAACACTCTACAAGTGTCAGCCTAACATTGTCAGTTCTGAGTTGTCGAATAAGGTATAAATACATAGTTTTGTTGTTGTCGCGACTAAGGTATATATATATGTATATCTATTGATTTGTTGTCGTATATATAGTTTTAATTTTTTGGAAACACTCTAAGAGTTTTATTGTTAAAAGGTGTTTTGATTCTTTTAGAATTGAATGTGACTGTCTCATGTCTTATATATAGTTTTAGAATATTTAGAATCTTTACGGTATTGACTTGTTGTTGTGAAAAGTGTTATTACTTTACGTTATAGTTTAGAATCTTTTGAATATACAAACGTCTGACTGTCTCCTGTTTAATAAATGTAATACTTGGCCCCACATATATGGGGTCCATGAATTTATTGGATCGGTCCTTCTTTTCATTGCATTATGTTAAATTCTTGTTTTGTATTCATGGAATATACTATCATATTGGATTATGTTTTTTTGTCCTTATGTAATGTTTGTCTTCATTTATCTATGGATAAAATTATTTTTAATTTTTTTAATGTTGTTAGGCTTATAAAAATAGAAAAAGAACAAACAAGAAAAAGAGGTGAGCGTGGTATTGTTGTATTTAAGTCAAAGATTTCTCAAGAAAAGTATAAATTGAAGTTTGATTAAAATAATATCCCAGACGATAACATGTCAACACAGTTTAGTTCCTGGTTTGACATAAAGGTTCGACGTAGTTTTCCTATAGATATAGACTAGTGTAAATTTGGACAAATGTATTTTAAAGATTTATGGTTGGAAACCGAGATATTTATATTTTAATTTATTACAAATATAAATAACTTATTAATTACTTATTATGATTAACCTCTTTTTATTTGTTTTGAAATTGTAGAAACAGTGGAACATTAATACTGATGATCAAGAAAATTATATGAAGAAGAAAGCTGTGAAACTAGCATCAAATTTTAAATCATTCCTTGTTTCAAATTATGTGAAACAAGGATTGAATGCTTGTCTTAAATATGATTTTATAGAACCCGATGTATGAGAAAGATTCGTTGCACAAAAAACAACCCCCGAGTTTTTGGTATGTTTTAATTGTTTATTTATTATTATTATTATTATTATTATTATTATTATTATTAATAACACTTTGTTGATATGTGTGAAGGCATGAAGTGAAAAAGCTAAACAAAGTAATGCCAAAAGGTCATTCATAAAACGTTTAGGAAGAAGTGGATGGAAGGTCTTGAAAAAAAAGACATATTATAAGGCCTCAACTTGTATCCAAATACAAGTTTTTGGGCCGTATAAAAGATTAACGGTCCATGTTGTATTTAATGGCTTTCACATTAATAAACAAAGAAACCAACACGTACGATCTTCCTCAAGGGGCAATTCAAGATTTTCAAATTTTGGTAAACAATTATTTTTTTTACTTAATGAAGATTTTGATTTTTTAGTAAATACATCTTACCAAGTATTTTTTTTCTTCATAGGAACAAGAAGAGAAAAGAATGATAGCCGATGGAAGCTATTTTCAAAATAAGGAAGACCCATTAGTTAGACTTTTGGGACGAGAGCACGGGGGGCGATCACGGACTATATCCAATATCATTGGACATACTAAGGTTTACGGTGGACTGTTTAAAAATGTGGAAAGTAGTCGAAGCACAAGACAACAGGTTGACATGATCCAACATTCCATGAATCGAGTGGTGTGTCTGGTGGACGGATGACAGATGACCCACCTGTTGAGGTAATATATTTATAATTTCCACATAAAAAAGATATATATCTATACTATAAGTTATGTTTTTTATATTATATTTACAAAAAATGTTTATATAATTTGCAGGTTAGGACAGAATGTGAATTGCTAGTGAATGTGGCTGATACCCAATTGAAAGTAGCTAATGGTATTGCATGGCCAACATCTGAAACGATCATACATTCACAACCAATAAGTAAAGGTTGTGTGAAAGTACAAGTTGATGAAATTGTCGATATGTATGAGAACTTGCATGTGCATGCCGTCACAAGAACGGAGGAAGTTGAATACGTTAAACATCTTCTGCATACCCTCGTTCAGTGGCCGAGATATGCAATAAAGGTATATTTATATTTAAATATAACTATATATTTTAGTATATGTTTATTTAAATTTTACAAAATATTGTAGCTTGTGAACAAGACACCTAGCAAGTCAAAAAGTGGCACGAGAATGGGTTCGAATCGCGGCTCACCACGGATACAAGTTGATGACATCACGACGACTTCAATTTATCGTCCACAAGTAATCGACCGTTTCACTCTTATTTTTTGTTAATTTAATTTTATTTTGTTAATATTATAACAATTTGTTTGTTATTTTAGTTTGAAGAAAACCACATGGCCTATCAACATGAAATTATTGAGCATTTTCAAGGTGGTTTAGTTGATATGGTTAGTCTTAAAAACTTGTTTTATGCTTATTTTTTGATTTTATTATGTTTTATGTTTGTACATAATCATACATAATTACTAATGTTTTTTTTTTTTTTTTTTTTTTTTTTTTTTTTTTTTTTTTTCTTTAGATGTTATCTATGAATCCACCACATCTTGATTTAAATGCAACCGGACCCGGATCCGAACCGGAACCTGAACCTGAACTTGAACTCGAACCCGAACTTGAATCCGATATCGGTTCTGAATCTGAATCCGAATCCGAAACCGAACCCGAACCCGAACATGAGCAAATTAGAACAGCAAAGTCCTCAAATTCAATGTGTTGGTTTTCAAGTAGCAGAGTTTTTTGGGAATGCAAATGTCGTTAATACTTTTTCAACCAAAGGGATGTATCGCCGTAGGGTTCAAGTTAGCATCCTGTAACGACGTAAATTTTAAAACCAATTTTTCATTTTTTTTGCAAACATCAAAAATTTCGATTAATATTTCAAATCCAAACGTAAACAATGTTGTCACAACCGAATACATCACAAAGGTCATAAAAATAGTTTTTCCCCGATAATGTGTACGATCACACCGACGCCTTCCCACAGTCCTCGCTAGTACCTGAAACACGTAACACAACAACTGTAAGCATAATTGCTTAGTGAGTTCCCCAAAATACAACCTACGCACATACGCCTTTCCAGGCCCTGACCTTCCGGTCCATGTGTCTCAGGGGACTTCCGTCCCGACTGGGTAAACCTTCCGGTCCTACCACGTCAACCTTACGGTCCATATTACAATGCCTTCCAGCCCATAACATAATCGCCTTCCGGCCCATAACATAATGCCTTCCGGCCCATATCAAGCATATCATACATGGGTGCATATAACGATTAACTTATCACACATAATGCATATATCTCATATCATATTCAACCTTCCGGTCACACAGTCAAACCCTTCCGGGTACAGTATAGTGAGAAGACTCACCTCGTGGGAAGCTAAGATCTCGTGTCCTCGCTATCACCGAATCCAACGACGGCTCAACCTCGCCTAAGCATAAAAATATCATTTAATACACGAAGACTTCCACTACTAAAACTTTACCCCTTATCATCCTTCCTGAAAGGGTAAAAGACCATTTTACCCTTCCCTGATCTAAAGTCCTCATGTTGACCAAAACCCTAAAAGTCAACAAAAGTCAACCATGAGAGTGCGCGGGGCGTACCGCTAGATGTACGTGGGGCGTACATCGCCAACTCCCCCCGGATCGGGGTCTCCACCCAGTACGCGGCGCGTACTGGAAGTCACGCCCTGCGTAACCACCAGAATCAGCCACCTCCATTTCTGGTCTTAATCAGTTAAGTCATTAATCCATCTTCCAGATCCGACTCCTTTAGTGTGTCTAAACCCATAAAGTCGAGACCTTTAAGCCTTGGCATGGCTGTAAAGGCTCCAACATCACAAACAACCTTTTATTCAAACTCAAGGACCTAGATCTCATGCATGGTGCAATACCCACGTCCAAGATGCCATTTTTATGAGTCTACAACTCCAATAGATCAGAAACATGAAGCATCTAAGCTTATGGAGGCCATTTGCACAAAAGTCTCCACCTTTGGGACTTAAACCCTAGAAAATGACATTTAAAGCATACAACAAGAACCAAGTGTCAAGATCCAAACTTTTTACCTGAAATTGAAGCTTTAACCCTTGCAAAGCTCAGATCTACACTTGAGCACCACTTCTAGCCTCTCCAACAAGCTCTTCTTCTCCTTTGCAACCTTAAAATGGCACCACCAAGCTTAGAATGCACACACAAAGGCTTAAGGACGATGACACACACTATTTAGGGTTTCACTCCGAGGGGTGGTGGCTGAGAAGTCCAGCCACACATTCCTTTTATAGCATCAACAAAGGAAATTAGGGTTTGGGTCTGAATGAGTTACGCCGGGCGTAACCTTAGGTACGCCCCGCGTTCTTGAGGGGGAACGCGTCCAAATGAGGCGCGCAAGTACGCGCAGTGTACACCTTGTACGCCCAGCGTACTCACCTACCATGAAAACCCTAAATCATAACTTAATCAAGATGCAGGTCCAACAGAAAAATACCTGGATTTCGGGCTGTTACAATTCTCCCCCACTAGAATCAGACTTCGCCCCTGAAGTCTCATACTGAAAACAACTCCGGATACTGATCCCGCATCTCAGACTCGCATTCCCATGTCAGCTCGGACCCCTTCCGATGTTGCCACTGCACTTGTACCAAGGGTACTTCCTTGTTTCTCAGAAGCTTAACTTTCCGATCCCTGATCGCTACCGGTCTCTCCACATAGTTCAGAGCTGCATCCACCTGAATATCATCCAATGGCACCACTGCTGACTCGTCGGCAATACATTTCCTCAACTGCGAGACATGAAAAGTATCATGGATCTGCCCCTACTCAGCAGGTAGATCCAACCGGTAGGCTACCCGACATACCCTAGCAATTACCCTGAAGGGTCCAATATACCGGGGCCCCAACTTGCCCCTCTTCCTGAACCGAATCACTCCCTTCCAAGGAGAGACCTTTAGGAGCACAAGGTCACCCACTTGAAACTTGAGCTTGGACCGCCGCCTGTCCGCATAACTCTTCTGGCGACTCTGCACGGTCAACAACCTCTGCTTGATCTGCTGAATCTGCTCAGTCGTCTGGAGTATGATCTCCATGCTACCCATGACCCGCTGCCCCACCTCTCCCCAACAGATGGGGGTGCGACACCTCCGCCCATACAACAACTCAAAGGGTGGCATACCAATGCTCGAATGATAGCTGTTGTTATGCGAGAACTCTGCTAAAGGTAGATAGTGTCCCACCTCCCTCCGAAATCCAAAACACATGCTCGGAGCATAT